AGTATAGTTAATGCGGACGTGTACACGTGTGTATACACCAATAAAAATCAACGCTCACGCCACCGCCTCTAAGAACAACCCAGATCGACAGTTCGTGAACCACCTCATACAATGATTTACACACAGTCTTTACGTAGGTTTACGGGTCACGCCAGATTCCTCATACATGCCACAACTCTCAATCAGCCACCTCAGAGCCCGACATAGTTGATAAATTCCTGGATAGAGAAATTAAAGACGCATTCACGATGGGTCCATTCCCCAGTCCACCGTTCCTTACATTCGGAATCAATCCAAACCACGTCGCTTCACGAACATGACACACCAGACCACCAGATGACGCATGCAAATCATGCCACCAGTTCCTCCCACCACGTAATGGCAACTCCAGTCCCACCATCTTCCGCCTCCATCCTCTACTGACTCCCTTCAGATGGACAATCCGGTCGCCATTTTCTTTCGCTCGATAGCTTCATCCCATTCGCCGTTCCATTGTTAAAATCATCGTACCCACATGATCAGTTTTGTCACTACTGCAAATCCTGTCCAAACCAGGATTTTCCCCAGAGCCATACTTTGGGCATTCCAGGCAGGGAATCCCAGATATCGGCAATAAACCCTTTGGCAGATGGTCTTCTCGAGCATATCGCACGTACATCTGTTACGACCTAAACGATATCAAACACGCCACGCTTACGAGTCGATTCAAAGTCTTTTTGGGGGCTCTCTACAAGAGATACGAAGAGACAGCTCCCCCACTCAGTGTCTCGCAACCCACTCGGTTCCCTCTTACATCGCGCCGAACCACTCCATCCATTCATCGATCCGCCAACCGACCTTCATTCCTCGACTCTCATTCCTCGACCTTCATTCCTCGACCCCTCATTCCTCCATTCCTCATCACTCGACCCTACTTCCATCCCTCATCACTCGACCCTACCTCCATCCTTCATCCCTTCATCCTTCATCCCTTCATCCCTCAGTATACCACATCGGTTCAGATTTGTTCATTATGTGCAATAAACATAGAGAAAATCCTATCCAAATCGGAATATCCCCAGAACCATTCTCTGGACAGCGTCCTCCGCTTCCAAGCAGGGAATCCAAGACAACATCATCAAACTCCTCGGCCGTTGGTCGTCTCCCGCATATCTTACATCCGCAACGACTTTTCTATCAATCCTCACCAATCCTTCCCATACCCCCTCATCCCTCATCCCTCGACCCCTTCTCCTCATCCCTTGACCCTTACCCCTTCATCCCTTCATCCTTTCACCCCCTCCATCCATTAACCATTTTTCATCCCACAGCATTCCACATTCAACCATAACGTATAATAAACTTTTCTTAATCCATACAGCTGTTGGCGTGGTCTTTGTTAGTGAATTTGTTTTTAGTGTTCCAAAGAAGCTTCTTGCTAACATGTGGCTGAGTTGTTTGGCATGTTTCCAAAACTTCAAAGGATGGGGATTTCCTAATACAAATTTTGCGTGTCCTTAATAAATGGGTATATGTGTAGAAACTGCCATTGTGTCAAGTATTTTTTTCCCTTATCCACAAAGGGCAGAGAGCAAGTAGAACACATGGACAGACTGTATATGTTCTCACCATTGGGAAGTTTTCAATGAGTATACCCCTCGGAGGAAACTCAGGAACACAGAGAAATAACTCTGTGGTTCTGGCTGTGTGTTATCTCTTTCTTCCATCTTTCTCTTTGTCTGGCATGATAAATACATCATGATTTGTCCTACGGCATGTTGAACAGTTTTAAAGGTGGGGTTTCAGAAACATAGTATCCAGAGAAAGTATATGTATATGTCAGCTGCTCTGCCAGTTAGTGTCTTGACAGTGTGGGAATGTACCATTGGGTATCAACCCAACAGTTGTAATGAAACTATGAAAAGGAGCTCCTCCCTTATTGATTTATCCTCAGGTCACCTTAAGATTCTTTATTTGTGTCTCACCATGAGATGACAAACCACACTAACAACTGACAGACTGCATTTTATTACCAACTGTTAAGTGAATTGTTGTGTGGTTTTGTGCCATTAGTTTCTGGTATGTGAAATTTATGTTTAATAAGAGTAACCAAGCTCACACCTAGTAGTGCATTGTACATGTTCCAAAATTTAATCTGCTGCCTACGCTTGACAATGACAATGATTTTTAACTAAAGACAAAAGAGTTTGTGGGAAGAAGGTAGTCGAGGTTTAGGGTGGAGGGTTTTTTTTTAATTCAGTCCAAGAAACTCAATCTTCTGTAGGAACCAGTTATATACTGCAGCATTATTTTCCAGCTCATTTCAGTTTTAAGGTAGGTGGCTTAGGATACAAGGCATAAGAGGGTAATTTACAGATTATGTTTTAAATTTTACTTTTTAACCAACAAGAGAAGGAGGGACTCACTGTTGTTGACTCTTCAGTTGCTTTGATAGCAGAGTAGGACACACACACAAAAAGAATAGTCATTTAAGATTTTACTATAATACATTAGGAATATAATTTAGGCCGAGGCAGTGTATGATGGCTTGACCCCCACCACAGCCAGTTGTGTTTTTCAAGAAGAAGCTGAAGGACATGCTATACAAAAGGCTAAGTAGGCGGTGATAAGTCATAATTCCAATAATCTTATTGGATGTTGTTATTGCAGTAGGAAGAATTTCTATGTCAACGTGCAGAGTTGCAGGGTGAAGTCAATGGAGGTGATTGCAGAACATGATTTATAAGTTTTGGTACAGAAGTATTAGTATGTTTCCCACTATGTTGGAGAGTTTTGATAACTGCGTGGCTATCACATTAAACTGGGGCAAAATTTGGGTGAACATCTATAGTCAGCTGATTGAGTTGAAAGCCCTTGCCAAGTGAGAGAGAGTAAAGTAGCCTGACAATATTATATATAGATTGAAGTTTCGCTGAGCTTTATTAAACTACAGGCAAACTAATAGAACTAGAAAAACTAGAAACATCAAAACACAGACAGGAGAAAAACAACTACCACTATATCCTTGTTTGAAATTTCCCTGTGCGAAAATTCTTTACTCCCTTGTGCACTATCATACACGCACTGTAATGAATGAGTGCACAAGGGAGTGCTGGGCTTTATGAACAATTCTTGACATGTTATAGTGTGAACTTGGTATCTGTCTGCTTTTAAGGAGAGATTTCCATATGATAATTGAAACAGGTTTTGCTTGCTGTAGGCCTAATAATCCCTCCTGTTCATACTGGCCCCAGAAAAGATCCTCTTCTGAAGTGATTTCAGTCCTGGATATTTTCAAACGTATTTAAACATTAGAAATGTATATATGAATTATTGGTTCAAGAGAGTATGCAGACCTTCTAAGCATTGTAAAAATAGATCTTTATCTTTAGCCCTCCATTTTGTTGTTGTTTTGTTACATTTGATTAATCACTATACATTTAGAAAGATGTTTAGAAACTTAAATTTTTCTGAGAGGATGGTAGGTAGTAAGATAACAGCAGAATGTGGCAATATGAGAAAAGCCAAAAGAGAAACCAAGAGCAAGTGAGTGAAAGACAGACTACACAGGCAAACATACAGTAAATTCAATGGTTTTAACCTGTTTCATTTTTATTTAGTTCCTAGCAAGATATTCAAATAGGAAAAAAATACACATCACTTGTTTTGAATGTAGACGTGGGCTTAACCACATATAGTATTATAATTATACAACCATACCTGTTGTATTGTAATGTTTGCCATCCACACCCTCACGGGCAGACAGTACAGTCACACACCCCCTTACAGTTACACATCTTTCAAACAGTGCATAAACAAACAAATATTTCTCAAATGAATCACTCTCTCTCTCCACATGCATAAATATTCAACTCTCAAATTACATCCCACATGGAAGAGAGGAGTAACTTGGTATTAAGTACAGGTGTCACCTGCATAGTTCAGTAATGAATCACTTTTCAATTACATAACTGAAATCATATAAGGTAGTTACTAACAAGAACAAAATGTCATGCATTTACAAACACAAATCCATTCATGATACTGTTAATAGTTTGCACATGCACATGGCAATAGATTCATGATAACATTGTCAAACAAGTGAAACCTTTTGTTGGGTTTTGCTCAAAGTGCCTAATTTCTACCTCATAGTAATCCTCTGAAAACACAAAGAGAAGATGCATGATGTCTGCACTTTATTCCTTGAGCCTTTGAACTAAATCCAGTCAGATTGCCCTTCAAAACATGCTCTCAAGAGCTGTCAGTATGAAGTCTTAATTTCCACACCTCAAAGCCTTTAAACAGACTAAATAATAGCTCACCACAGTTGGATGTGAGCTTTGCCAAAGAGCAGGTGCTTAATTTATAAAGACCTCTGGTAACCCCTATGACCTACTGTGATGTAAATGCTTAAAAGGCTTTAATTAATTACTTTTTATTAAAAGTCAGTCAATCTGAAGAAAGATAGTACAGTGATTGTTGAGTCACATTCTCAGGTCATTAAATACCTACGCTATGTGTTGTGTTACTTGCTCTGAGACATTTTTCTGTGTGTTGGTATTTGATTCCTCCATCCTCCCCGACCTTTTGCAGTTTGCATATTTGCATACTTGTTTGGGTTTTTTTCAGCTTCCTCCCACAATCCAAAGACATGCAGGTTAGGTTAGGTTAGTTGTTTGTGTCTGTGTCAGGACTGTGATTGATTGTGGCAGGTCTGTAAAGCAGCCTTCCTGTTTCACATGACTGTTTCGCACCTGTATTTTTCTGACACAAAGGGGGCATAGTGGTTTCCCGCTCGCAATAAGAGGAATAAATCTTGAACTGACAATCGTTTCATCTCAATATCAACATGTTAGTGCACAGGACTGGGATGACTCATAACATTTGGAATCTGGAATATTTCCATTGCCAAGAGATTAACCAAACAACAAAATAGAATATTTAACAGTTAATAGGAAAAATAGATAAGATTTTTAGTTGTAAAGAAAAATCCAGTGTACTCAGGAAAACATTCAAAAGACACAGCAAATCACAGCCAGGTCAACCATGCTAGGGTTTTCCCCAAAAGAAAAGAATGCAAAGAGAGACAGAGAGAGAGAGGTCTCTGGCTCTTTTTACGCTCTCTACAAATCTTTACAAAGAGTAAAATTCAGTCTTTATGAAGACTTAGTTGCAAGGCATCTTTCGTCCTCGTCTTCCTCCTCTGTTTCTTCATCCCTGGTATGGGGAACAGAGGTCAGCAGTAGAGTGTCAGCATGGACTTCTTCATCGTCAGACTGGATCACAGGTGTGTCGACTCCGCCCCCACTAGTGTCACTGGAACCAGATGACGTAGAGGACATGCGAGACCCACGCTGAACTTCATTTTGCCGTTTCAAAGGTGCGCGCTCCCTGTAGACGACCTCTGCATCTTCATCCTCCTCATATTCATCTTCGTCCTCAACCTCTGTAGGCAAAGGCTGTTAGAACATATCTGTACCTGTTCTGTCAGTGCTAGTTATTTCATGTCGGTGGACCCAAATATTTAGTGCTGAATGGCTGAAAACTGAAACTTTAAATTATATCTTCACATATGACTCTCCTAACTCGTGGTGAAACCAGATTAGAAACCTAGATTAGATTAAATATTTTTTGTTTTCCATTAGATTGTTCAAGTCATGCAGATTGCAGAGTTACTGGCTTTTGGGTTTGACAAAAGTTTGACAAAACTTGTCACAAAAAGCTTACATTGTCTTTTTTACCCCAATTTGAAATGAAAAAAGTTACTCATTTTACTTACTCATATTTCTGTTTCCATATAAATCCTAAACACTGATACTGCATAGCCTTTTGCCTCTGAAGCAGTTTTTATATGAAATAGATACATACTGCCAGTGACAAAATGTACTGTACAACCCTGATTGGTTGTAACAGTGAATAACAAGGAAAAATATATGATAGAAATATATGCAGAATATCAGTAATAAATCTTGAAATTCTAGGTTGTTACATGTAAGCGGCCTGTGTTTGTAAAATCTGCATTTGAAAATTTATACAAAAATGGCTTTAAGAAAATGCAGTGGCAGTGTGTTAACTGTGGCTTGGTAGCTGTCGGTGTACCTGGTAGTGGAGATGCCAGCGCTCCCTCGTCTGCTCCTGAGCCTGAGTTGAGGAACACGTCGAGAGCCTCCTGGTCAGAGATGTCCATCAGGTCCATCTGCTCAAGGACGTCCACGTTCACCTCCATAGAAGAGATGCTTCCCATTGGGGCTGCATATACAACAGAACAGCATTCATAACATACAGTAAATACACACTGTTCATGCCAAAAGTGAAACATCATTTGTATTTTGACGCTATGTCTGTGTACAGTATACACAAGTTTTCCTAAAGGGAATTTTTAATCTCTAAAGCATACAGCACCCTCTTTCCTTAGAACCTCAACTCTGATGCTGGGAAACACTCCCCACCCACCAAAAACATTAAACTAGGATTAAAACGACAGAAGGTAAAAGTTACTCACGTTTCCTGCAGTCGATCTGCAGGTGAGCAGAGGGCAGGTAGTTGTCCACGTCATGCTGGTAGACCTCTTCAAAAAAGCGCTGTCTGTCCCTCAGCTTCAGGTGCTGGGCTGAGTCATTGTCCAATACCCTCTGTGAGTTGTCTGTCTCCGCTGACCACACATACAAAAAACACATAAAAAACATTCACTTCAACAGTCTTTTAATGCAGTATTGTGTCTTAAAATTCAATATTTATTAATAATGCAATGCAAAAGAATTTGCTTTCTCTTGATAGCTTATTTAAAATGATCTGGCTTATCATGCCTCATGTTTTGGTTTAAAAAAACATCTTCCCGTCTCTACTGTGTACTGTCAATAAATCCATAAAATAATCCATAAAATATGAAATGGTGTGAGCTTGAAAGGGTAATTGAGGTATGAATTGAGTACTGAATTCCTGTAAGACGCTGGCAAAAAGTACATGGCAATCATTTGGACTTTTTGCCAGCATCTAATAACCTAACAATAGGTTTTAACTTGTGCATCAGTTCTCTGGAAATGTTTGATAGAAGTTCCTTTCAAATCCCACAGGTTGCTGCAGGCTTTTACCATTGTGTTGCCAAACCTCAGTTAAAGTTTTGTCATATGCTCATCCAAAACAAACAGTAACACCTGAAAAGTTGTGTCAGATTTGTTTCCATACAAAAAACAGACTCATCTTATTTTTATTCATATTTACTACTAATATACATTAAGTAAATACCAATCAATGTGATATTGAAACTGACTTCACTCAATATATTTTGACAACAAATGAAGATTTGTACTAATGGCATTGCATTAGCTATGTGATCATTTGCTTGAATATCCGCTGCAACTATCTTTTGAAGTAATATTTCGGGCTATGATGGCCCTCTGGCTCTGCCATTGCCTGGGCTGCTGCTTGTGTTTTATGTCTAACCCTTCAGATCCTGGTAGGCAGAGTTTGTATTAGAGCATCTGGGTGCACCTAGCCAATCAATCCACAAGGATCATCTGTCCCCATTCCCTCGCTCTCTCATTTAGTTAATATTTTCTGTCGCTATTTCTGTACATAAATATGATTGTTTGTTTTTCAAAGCATTTCTTTCCTTTTTGCAAACCTGTTCTCCCAATTGGACTTTTTAACATTGCAGTAAGTAATGTAAGTTGGACCCATATGCAAATATCTGTTCATTTGCATAAATGTGCTGACATCTTTGGTTCCTGCATGTTTTGACATGCCACAAGTGCCATTATTTGACTTCAGTTCAGTTACTCCTCCCTTGGTTTTGGCAGAGATCCCTTAGGTAGCAATGTGTGATACTATGCAGATACGTTGTTATTTCCTAACCACCAGTTGATTCACTATCAGTTGTGTCAGAAAGCCTATCTGACACCACTTTTGAGAGTTCATATGAAGCTGTCAACCAGTCCGAACTGTGACTTGTGCTCCCTGAACACACCAGGAACATTTAGGCATATGGTATGGGAGAGGAATAAAGGCACTCAGTAGGTTGTAAGACACTAGACCGTTAAAAATGTTTGCACTGTTTGACCTTGTCATGTGAAATCATAATTTCAATAAAACAGTTGTTCACAAAAAAGATACGTTGTTATTTCAGTGCGTGACAATACAGATATGTTATGAAAAACAAGAGAGCATCTGTCCTTAGGTCTACTTCCAGCGTTGACCTCTGCCAGGCCGACCAGCTGTGGTTGTGTAACTGTGCTACATCCTCCTCGGCACACATTGTGCCTTCGCCCACTGGGCTCCATGAGCTGACACTTTGACTCATGTCACCAGTGTTTTAATGTTTGATAATGCGTGTGTGCGCATGTTCCCATAAACTGTACGATTGTGCGCTTTTGCATTCATGCTCTTGTGTGTGCATATATGTGTATGCATGCTATTTAGCTTATGCTCATTGGTCACCCAGTGTGTGTTATGTGTAGCAAACTTCCATGACTAACATGTTTACATGATGCCAGCAGATGGATCCAGGATGCACAGTAACAACATTCACTTCGCTTCATCTGCAGACCTTTGAGTGCTACTTTTCTCTTGTTTGAAAACAAACACATCTGTGTCACCCAGCCTCTTCAAACAGCCCTATCTCTAGAGACCCAGCAAGTCAATCTGTCAGTCACTTTTCCACAGCCCTGGAGGGCTGAGTGTCCACTCTTGTGCACACGACAGCCATTTATTCTGTCATTCAAGCTGTCTGTGGAGGCAGGAATCCAGTAAACAGTCTCTCTCGCTGATATTTTAAAAGTAAGTGAAGTAACTGGGAATACAGTCAATTACATACAGCTTACAGTGTTGTTAAATATAAACCAGTGCCAAGACTATAATGTCAGTCATAATGTCAGTGTCACTAATATATCTGTCTAGACAAACTTGATATACTGAGATGTTTATTTCATTGCTGTGGGTATTCGTGGCATGAGATCACCAAACTGTTAGCTACATTGGGGAAGTTTCTGTGTCTAATATTTAGCAGTCGCGACAGCGTGGCTGGTGCTGTTTTCGCCTTGGAGGTCTGTGTGTGTGTGTGTGTCAACATGGCAAAATATTATCCTCAAGACACCTACTGTAGCAGGAACAACCACAGAAGCGGTTTTGAGTACTTTTCCAGGTGTTTATGTTTGTCAGACTTCGTCAACTCAATAATGTTACAACCATAAAAGATGCAGTAATGCAAACAGGTGTGTAGTTGAGATCAAAATTAAGTTCGAAGATGGGTGTGGTGCACTCATGTACTAATGTAATAATGATTAAGTACTCATGGGTGGTGTCCAATCACGTGATGGTCTCTAGTTAAAGTTCTAATTATTATGCAACTACAGTTCTGGAGAGAAGCAAACAAGCCAGCTTTGGTCAAAATAATTTCATTTCAAGCAACATTTTTGCTTGACAAATGAACACAACAGAAACTAAAAGAAAAACATTACATTAATGTTGCCAATTAGAGGACCGATGAGTAAGATTAAGTGGCATCTAGTGGTGAAGTTGCAGGTTGCAACTAACTAAACACTGACGGTGTCTTAACGACCTGGGAATGCGAACAGGATGTGAAGTGTGCAGGAGAAACTACGGTGGCCATGAAACTCATGTAAAACACGAAAGGCCCTATCTACAGCCAATGTTTGGTTTGTCCGTTCTGGGCTGCTGTACAAACATGGCAGTTTAACATGGCTGACTCCAAGGAAGGTGACCCCCACTAGATAAAAACAAAGACACAATGATTCCTATATTGATTATTGA